CCACAGAAGGAAGGTGGATGCACCTGCTTTGGTGTAGAGTACTGCAGATGGTGAGCGGAATTGTCCTGGTCAGCTAGATTGCCACGGTTAGGCAGATGCTCCTGCAGGAGCTGAGAGCTTTGGGGAGTGTTGGTCAAGCTGCCTTAGGTCGCGAGGCACTACAGCAGGTGGGAGGAAGTTCTCTCCGTCACATGGGACCACAGAAGATGGGTAGGAGATCCCCCAGCCACGCAGGTGGGAATTCCCCTGCAAGAAGGTGGGCAGGAATTCCCCGTGTAATCAGTACTGCAGAGTGCAGGCAAGGGGAATTTCCCCTGAGGAAGGTGGGCAGGCTTTCCCCAGCCTCCTGTTATGCTGCAGAGGGTGGAGCTCCCCAAGCTGGGTAGAGGGCAGGCGTAAATGCCCTAGACTAAGGGTAGTGGCCTGGAGATCAGCAGTGGCATGTGAAAGAAAAAAAAAATTTGACTACTGAGACTGGGGGGAGGAGCAGGGGGAGAGAGAGAAGGGAGGGAATAATTGTAAACCCTGGGGGGGGGCATTGGTACAAGGTTTTGAAGTGTGTGTTGTGAGGACAATCATCCTGAGGGTCCTCAAGGAAGTCTCATCCAGTTCACTCAGTCTATTTTTGTTTGTGTTTCTAGGAAACACAAATCTGTCTCACCTATTCATCCATTCTATGAAGGTACATCTATGATGGTCCCTTAGCTCAACAGACCTCCTGGGCAATTCTGCTATGCTCACCTGGGGAGTTCAGAGCCCTTTCTACTAATTCTCCAATTGTCAGAGTTTGGCAAATCCATGCCTGAGATTCATTTCTGACTTCCCACTTCATACCTCTGTAAATTGATCCTAGGCTATACCTCAATCCCGCCTGTCCCATACTACATCCCCACTCTGATTGTGCCTCAGGGTAACAGGTGACTCCTGAGCTTGTGTGTGGGGTGAGGGCAGGGGGGGTGCCTCACACCCTGCTTCAGCTTCTTTCTTGCTGTTGGTGAGTATGAGGAAAGTGAATCCTGAAGATCTTGGTGGGAGGGGCAGTTGACTGGGATGCCCTACAGGTGAGTGTGTTTGGAGTTGGGGAGTGAAGAAGGCCTGATGGACTTGAGTCGGTAGCTCCCAAAGAACCCTCCTTGGCTTCTGCCCCCTTGCAAGCACTGACACATGTGATTCCCCCT